GCAGTGCACTGGGAACACCAGGAACACATTTGTGCTACACTTGAATGGAAAAACTTCTGCATAACGAACACAAACAGGGTCACAGGCTTAGCAGTGCACTGCTTGTTTAAAAGGTTGGCATCACCCAAAAGCTCACATTTTCCTATGTTTTCAGGAGCATTCACACTCCAGAAGCATCACTATTCCAACTTTTTAAAGTCAAACCACAGGGCACTGCCAAAATTTTAGCACAAGACACCTATCAATAATACATCTTAATTTAACATGTTGTACAGAATCATTAAAAGCAAAGGAGACACTTACCCTTCTTAGCTCCTGCTCTGGAGGAAGCAGTGAAGAACTTCTTCACAGTAGTGACCTTTCGTGTTTTCTCATTGGTTTTCTTCTCCTCAAACTTGGAAAAGGTCAGTGACTGTGCCCCTTGGGTGCTCTGACTGCTGGCATAGGCCTCTTCCTCCTCACGCTGAAGCCTGGAATGAGGAAACCAGAAGTCTAATTTAAGTGCTTAAAAACAGGACAAATAATTTATTGCACACAAAATGATCTTAACTACTCCTCTGACATGCTAATTCTCCTCTATGCCCATTTTCTGCTTCCTACCACCTCTCCCTTCACTACATTGCATCCACCCTTGCCATGCTGGAATGGGAAAAGCAAGGGAAAGGTTAAGATGTCCAAGGAGGAAATAGGCTAAATTATATTACCCTTCAAGATGCTAGAAGGTTAAGCAATTGTCTTTAAACATCCATCCAACTCTGGATGGACCATAAATAGTCTTGGATCTGCAATCTCTTGAGGCAGGAATTGTATCTTATCTGTGCTGACAACCCCTCCAACAAACAATCACAGCTTATCTGTGCCCTTACTTAACATCTCCTTAGTCAAGCCTTCCTTAAATACCTCCCTTTATTGGGCAGAGATGGTACAAGACTGACAGCATATCTATCTGCTCTAATAAAGACTTCAGTTCTAACTGTTTAAGCCAAATTTATGACAGAGGTAACAAATGCCATGTCCTCTGTACTCACTGCTTTACCTGGCACCTTCAGACCAGGCAGCAGCTGAAATGTAGAACCATCATGTTGGCTATATTCAAGACCATTACCTGCCATCTCCAGAGGTAGGGGTATTTTAATTAAAACTGTCACTTTCCCCCTTCCAACTGCTAGACAGAATTACTGATTTACATATACAAATTAGTCAGTTTTTATTGAGAGGTTGGGGGTGTTTACGTTGGTGACTTCACAGACTTTCTTTTGAACCCTCTTAAATTAGAATGTCATACATATTCATTCTTGCATCTAAAGGAAGGATTTCATTCCT